GGAGGGGCGCTCTTTTCCCACGGGGAGGGGCCGGGAGCGAGCCGCGCGGGGGTGGGGGAGGGCTGGGGGCGGCCCGACCCCCGAGCGGTCCTTGCGCAGACGGGCCTTTGCACAGCCCCCCCCCGTTGGCGCCCGTGGACGGTGACCCCCCCGCCCCTCTCCGACCCCCCCCTCCGCAGAGAACAGCCACCACCTGAAGGTCTTCCTGCCCAAGAAGCTGGTGGAGTGCGTGCCCAAGTGCCCGGCCCTGCCCAAGGAGCGCCTGCGCTGGAACACCAACGAGGTAGGGGCGCGGGGGGGGGGGGACAGGCTGCTGCTGCTGCTGCTCCGGAACCCCGAGTCCCTCCCGGGGGTCCGGCTGGGTCCTCTGGGGTGGGGGGGTGGGAAGCTGCCCCATCACACAGGCAGGCTCGGGGAGGGGAGGGCCCCTCTGGGTTGGGGCTCTGCCCTCTTCTCGGGGACCCCCCAGCTGGGCCCCGCGTGGCCCCTAATAATGGGGGCCCCTGTTTCCTGAGCCCCGGAGTCCCCTCCAGCGTCTCTCTGCGGAGGAGTCTCTGAGGTCGAGCAGGAAAGAGCCCCCCTCCCTTTTTAATAATCACCCCAATAAGCCTGTGAAAAAGCTCCCTTTGCCCGTTAGCCGAGCGCAAGGGGTGTGGTAAGCAGGGGTGTGTGTGTGTGATCCCCGCTAGACTGCAGGGTTTTGTGCGTTTGTGTACAAAACAGGGAAGCGTTTCCTGCAAGGTCCTGTTTTCGATCTGGAACAAACAAACCACCTTTAGGCCTTTTTTTTAAAAGAGCAGCATCCTAGGAACCAGGGATGGGAAAAGGAGCCCAGCGCAGCATCCCTCAGATGCTGCTCCTGGGGGAGGGGGCGGGGGAGTTCCTTCTGGGAGGCGGGGGAGGGAACCAAACGGGCCCCCTCCCACACATCATCCAGCCCTCCTGCTCTTCTTTATCGTTCTGGTCTTCCTGCTTCCTTTGGAGACCCTCCGCTCCGCTTGAAAGTCTGATTTCGGCCACAGTCGGTCACCGTTGGTCCAGATGCTTCGGTCTTGCTCGGCCGCCGGCCTCTCCCCCCCCCCCGCCTGGCTTTGCTTGGCCTTCTGGGTCTCTTTCCTGCAAATGGCCATTTTTGCTTTCTGTTTCTGCAACTTTGCTGGCCTCTCCTGCCTTCTCCCATCACCTCCCAGGGCCTCCCTTGCATGCAGCAGCTTCCAGCCTCTGCCTCTGGCCTGCTTGGTTTGGGGCAGGGGTAGGCAACCTTGGCTCTTTTATGACTCGTGGACTTCAACTCCCAGAATTCCTGAGCCAGCATGGCTCAGTTTGGAAACCTCTCCCTTTCCTCTCAGCATGGCTGGCTCAGGAATTCTGGGAGTTGAAGTCCACCAGTCATAAAAGAGCCAAGGTTGCCTATCCCTGGTTTGGGGGAACAGTCTGCCTTCAGTATTATTAGTGCTGCCCTGACGATTCCCGCGGTGGGGGGAGACGGGCGCTGGCCAGACCGGAGGGGGGTTCTGCTCCAAGAGTCCTGAAGACCCCCCCCCCCAGGTGCTCTGGCTGCCCCTCCCACCTTCCCGCCCGTCGTGGACCAGGGGCCCTTGTGAAGGGGGCTGCAGCTGCCTGACCCCCTCGGTCCCAGGTCAGGGCAGGGAGAAGGGCTTTCCCACAGAACAGCCAGTTAGAGGGTGGTTCTCACAGGCCCTGAACCTGGCTTGACCCCTGCCACTCAGGGTCTGGCCCTGGGCAGCTGCCCCCGCCAGGACTCCCGGGTGTCTCAGCTGCGGGCAGAGCTTCCCTTTCTCTCCAGACAACGAGGTGACCCCGGAGAGATGGCCACAGTCCCTGGCTGCAAACTCGGGGAGCCCTCTTGGGCTGGGAGGGGTCGGGGGGCACCTGCATAAACGGTCGGGATCCAGAAGGAAGAACGTGGAGGGCGGGGCCTGGTCCAGAGAGGATGCTTGGAGGCTGGACCCTGGGAGGGGAGGGTGAGCCCTGCGGGGCCTTTCCGTCTTCCGGACGTGGGGGGGACCCGTGGCCAGAGGGCAGGGTGGGGGAGGGTCAGGAGGCCAGCTGTGTGTGTGTGTGTGTGGGCTCTGCAGACGGAAGCTCCAGCCTGGCACAGGCCATCCTCTTCTTGCAGCCGTTTATTCTGTGACTGTCCGAAGTTGCAGCGGCGTGAGAAAAATCACTTAGGTGTGTGTTTCCCACACACACACACACACACCATCCTTGCAGCCTCCCTGTGGTCATGAGACCAAGCTTGGGGTGCCTGGCAACTGGCATCCACTTAACTGTGGCAAGAAAGGTCGTAAAACGGGGCAGACCTCACCAACAGAATTCCTTGGCAGCAGGAATTGGGGGCCGAGTTGGAACCCTGCAGATCAGAGAGGCCCCCTTTTTCTCCTGCACCCCCAGCTCTGTCTTCAGACCCTGGGATGCTGTGGGGGTGGGGGGGAGGGAGACCCCCGGCGGCTCTGTCCTTAGGCCAGGCTCCCTTCAGGGCAGACTAAGAGGAGGAAGGGGGGGTCCTTGTTTTTGAGGGTCCTTCGGTTGCACGTTGATCCTCAGAAAGATCCAGAAGCAGCTCCCACTCTTGCAGGAGGGGCTTCCAGGAGGAGACTGAAAAAAAATAAAAAATAAAAACTGCAAATAAAAAAAAAAAGACCCCGGCCGTCCTCGCCTTGCGCCCGTATTCTGGGCACAACTCCAGTCCCTAAGCAAGGCAGCTATCAGTTGTTCAGAGAATTGCACCTGACTTTTAAAACCTTTTTTGCCACGGTCGTTAAGCGAATCAAACGGTCGTTAAGTGCATCCGGGTTCCCTCGTTGACTTTGCTTCTCGGAGGGCAGCTGGGCAGCTCGCAAAGAGCGGTCACCTGACCCCGGGACTCTGCGACCCTCCCAAGCACCTGAATTTTGATCACATGACTGTGGGGACGCTGCTGTGGTCATAAGTGTGAGGACTGGTCATTGGTCAGTTTTCCAGTGCCATTGTAACTTTCAACGGTCTCTGAATGGCCTGGAGGACCACCGTTTTCTCTCAAGCCTACCTTGGTCTGCTCCATGTTGGATCAAGCCCTTGTTTGCCCCACCCCGAGTGCCCCTTGGTGGGCCGCCCTGCGGAAGGAGGCACCGTGCCCACTGCGTGAGCCCTGTTCCTGGCCTGCCCAAGAGACTTTGGCCGTCCTGGCCCTCCGTCCCCACGGCGGCTTTCTTGTTGCCAGAGGGCGGAATTGACAGAAATGCAAAATGGGGGGGGGAGCCTGTGCCAGGGGCTTCTCGGGGGGCGGTGGGCTTCAGCCTCTTCCGGCTTTCAGGGAAGGATCTCCCCAGATCCCCGGCCGGTGGTCAGGCCAACCTCAGAATGGGAGTGGACTGGAGATAATCGGATAGGGGCTCCAAAACGCCACTGGGGAGCTGGCTCTGAAGTCGGGGGTCTTTCTTGCAGGAAATCGCTTCTTATCTGATCACCTTTGAGAGACATGAGGAATGGCTCTCGGGCTCCCCGAAGACCAGGTAAGGGGTCCGCCCCTGCTGGCTCAAGGCCGGGGCACACGGGGGGGGTGTCAGGGGCCCAGCACAACCACCCACCCCTGGTGGAGCAGATGCTGCTGGTGCTTCGGGGGCCTGAATTCCCTTCTCGGGGGCGTCTGGGGCAACCAGCCCCTCCTCCCACTTCTAACGGGCCTGCAAACCTTTGGCTGCAAACACGCAAACTTAACGAACGAAATCGGATTAAAAGAGAAAACGGTGCTCCCCCCATCCCAGAATACAGGTGTGGGGAAGCTGATTTGGAGGGAGGCTGCCGAAACAGGCGAGGGTCCTCGTCCCCTCCACCCCACAACGTGGGCCACAAGATGCCAGACCCTCCGTGGCAGAAGAGGGAAGCCCCCTGCCTTCCTCTGCCTGCTTCCCAGGCGGAGACCCCAAAGCCCCCCGCTGGGGAAGGGGTGGGCTATGGCCGTACCCAGAGGGCTTTCAGGCCTACTGGCCTCCAGGCCTCCCTCCCAGGGGGCTCCCTGCAGACCTGGGGGGGCTCCACAGCCCCAGGGCCCTCCTGGACCCCCTGCTCACCGGGGCTCCTCCTCCCGGCAGACCCCAGAACGGCTCCCTCATCCTGTACAATCGCAAGAAGGTGAAGTACCGGAAGGACGGCTACTGCTGGAAGAAGCGCAAGGATGGCAAGACCACCCGGGAAGACCACATGAAGCTGAAGGTCAAAGGGGTGGAGGTAGGACCCCCCCCTCCAGATCCCTCCCCTCTTGGGAAAGGCCCGTGAGGCTCTGAAGAAGCCCCAGGCACCCTCTGGGCAGGCCAGAGTCCGGAGGGGACCCTGGGAGGGAGGAAGGGGGGGCCACTTTCAGGGGCGTTGCAGAGCTTGGGGGGCTGTGGAGACCAGGGGGGGTGGGTGGAGGGGAGGATCCAGCCCTGCAGGGGGGGTTACAGGTAGTCTTCGACTTAACAACCACAATTGAGTCCAAAATTTCCTAAGTGAGACAGACATTAAGTGAGTTTTGCCCCATTTTACAAGTTATCGCCTCCTTTGTTAAGCGAATCGCGGCAGTTGTCGGAAGGACCGTCATAAATACGAGTCAGTGGCCAACATTTTGATCAGGTGACATGTGGACGCGGCAACGGTCCTAAGTGTGGAAAACAGCCATAAATCGCCGTTTTCACTGCCGTTGTAACTTCAAATGGTCACTAAACGAATTGGTTCTAAGTCGAGGACTACCTACACGGGGATCTGCTACAGGGAGGAAACACTCCCCCCATCTTTGCTTCCTCCCCCCTCCCCAGTGTCTCTACGGCTGCTACGTCCATTCGTCCATCGTCCCGACATTCCACCGTCGCTGCTACTGGCTACTCCAGGTAAGTCTCCCTGCGGCTGCTGAACCACGCGGGGGGGGGCCCTTTCCTTAAGGAATTGTGTTTGGGGGGGTGTTTCCGGAGGAAGGACAGCAGCAGGGGAGCTGGAAGTGGGAGCCCACTGCCCGTCCGTCCTCCTTCGTTCCCTGCATTTTGGAATGGCTGGCATAATTTCAGCTAAAGGATATTATAATCTATGAAAAATTACCCCTTTATAACGGTAAGGCCACCCTCGGGGTCCCACATCCAGTTTTGGTCACTACGATGTAAAAAAAGATGTTGAGACTTTAGAAAGAGTGCAGAGAAGAGCAACAAAGAGGATTAAGGGGACTGGAGGCCAAAATATACGAAGAACGGCTGCAGGATTTGGATTATGTCTGGTTTAAGGGAAAAAAGGACCAGAGGAGACAGGATAGCCGTCTCCCAATATCTCAGGGGCTGCCTCAAAGAACGGGGGGTGGGTGGGTTCCGCCTCTTATTCTCCAAAGCTCCTGAAGGCAGGACAAGAAGCAACGGATGGAAAGTAATGAATGAGAGAAGCAACCTAGAACTAAGGAGAAACTTCCTGACAGTTAGAACAATTAACCAGTGGAACTCCTCGCCTCCAGAAGTTGTGAATGCTCCAAAACTGGTGGTTTTTAAGAAGAGACCGGACAGCCATTTGTCTGAAATGATATAGGGCAGGGGTAGGCAACCTTGGCTCTTTTATGACTCGTGGACTTCAACTCCCAGAATTCCTGAGCCAGCCATGCTGGTATAGGATTTCCTGGCTGAGCAGGGGGTTGGACTAGATGACCTCCAAGGTCCCTTCCAACTCTGTTATTCTTTTCTAAATGGAGAACAATGGTCTCTCTCTAATTATGCCCTGAAGGCTGACATAGCATTCGTCAATCTCAACAATGCTAAGAGATGAAAACTTCAACTCCCAGAATTCCTTAGCCCAGGGTGCTGGGCTGGGGAATTCTGGGTGTTGGAAGTCTGCACCCCTTAACTTTGCTGAGATTAAGAAACTACTCTCAATTCAGGGATCTCCAAACTGGGCCCCTTTAAGACTTGCGGACTTCAACTTCTCTGCTGGCTGAGGGATTCTGGGAGTTGAAGTCCACAGATCTTAAAGCGGGCAAGTTTGGATGCCCCTGCTTTAATAGAACAAATGATGATTTTAGGAAAATATTTATTCACTGTTACTTAGAATATCAGTAAATGACTACAGGCGAAAAAGGCCCAAAATATATAAATTCATTGTCCAAGAATTATGGTCCTGCTTCTCTTGGTGGGGGGGGAGTCTGCCTGGCCTCCCCTGGAGAGGATCCTCAAGGCCCCTGATAGGTGATAAACCTCAGTGAGGAGGGGGCTCCCCTGGAGGGAAGGGTCCATTCTCAAGGAGGAAGAGGCAACTCAGCCCAGATATGAATTGTGAGAGAAGGAGGGGGAGGACAGCCTCTCCTTAATAGTTCCCACAGTACATTAATGAAGATGGAGAAAGTCTTGAGTTTTCAACCCGGCAAGATTCCGTCTACAGGTCTGAAGCAATAAAGAACTTGGCTAGGAAGAATCACCAGCGTTATTCTTGGTTTAGGGTTAGGGTTAGGCAACCTTGGCTCTTTTATGGCTCGTGGACTTTAGCTCCCAGAATTCCTGATCCAGCTATGCTGCCTCAGGAATTCTGGGAGTTGAAGTCCACAAGCCATAAAAGAGCCAAGGTTGCCTAACCCTGGTCTAGGGCCTGACACGATGTCTTTTTAGGACCCCCCAGTCATCCTCCAGAAGTCCTCTTTTGGGCGGGGGGGTCGCCAAGGCCTAGCTTACCCTGTCCCAGTTTGAAAGCCGGAATGTGGGCTGGATCCCCCTAACTAAGAAGCAGGAAGGAAACCGGGATTCAAGGCTTAGGAAAATTATTCTCTCTCTGAACAAGGCCTAGTCTGCCTCCTTTGCCCCCCAAGGGGCTTCCCTCCTGCCTCTCCTCCCACCCGCCCCCCCCTTACTCCCCCCTGCAGAACCCGGACATCGTCCTGGTCCACTATCTGAACGTGCCGGCCATTGAGGACTGCGGGAAGGTCTGCAGCCCCGTCCTCTGCTCCATCAACAGTGACCGCAAGGAGTGGCTGAAGTGGTCGAAGGAGGAGCTGGTCGGACAGCTGAAGCCCATGTGTAAGCAGTGCCAGGAGGGTGCAAGATGATGGGTTTTAGGCTTCTTCGTAGTCCTTGACTTAACGACGGGTGTCAAACTGCCGGCCCATGGGCCGGCCGCGTCACCAAGAAACCGCGCCCACCCCATTGCCGGCAATGGGGAAAAAGCTCCCGATACGTCGCGCGACGTCACGTGACGTCGCGGGTTTGACATGTCTAACTTACGACTAATCGCTAAGTAACTCTTCAAAGTTCCAATTGACCTACCTGGGAGTGACTGATGACCCAGGTTCGCAATTCCAACGGCCAGACCCTCCCCAAAGTCACGTGACCACGGGTTGCTGGGCAGCCAGGCCACTTTCACCGCCGTTTGGGGTGTCCCGCAGCCACGCGGCTGCCTTTTTTATAGCAGCCTTGCCCAAAAGTGGCATTTCCCTTCAGCATCCCGAAGGGTTTGCTTAGCAGCCGTAAAAAAGGTCATATAGTTGGGTCGGTCTTGTGACCAGCCCACTTTACAGCCATCACGAGTTATAGTCTCCGTTATAGTTGTAACTGGAGGGGCTGCTGAGAAGCGCCAGGTCAGTGGCCTCCTCCTCCTCTTCCTCTGTTCCCAGGAGGCTCCTGCTGACCACAGCTGGATGCCCCTGGACTGGCCAGGCCCTGTGCTTTGACTGCCCGGGAGCTGCTGTCCGGTGCCCTTGGAAGATGCCCGTGGCAGGGCAGCACCACCCCTTCCATCTCCCCGGGAGGGCCGGTTTCTGCCTTTGGGGAGGGTCTGGGGGGCAGGGGACAAGGCCGGGATCCCGGACCGGACACGCCGCACTCTTTCCTCCCGCAGTTCTGGGGATCAAGTGGACGTGCAGCAGCAACGGGAGCAGCAGCACTGACCTCTCTGTGGAGCAGCTGGTGCAGCAGATCCTGGAAAGCCACCAGGCCAAGCCGCCCCCCCGGACCCACGCCTGCCTCTGCAGCAGCAGCCTCGGTCAGCCGCCCCCTCGCCCCTTCCCTCCCTCCCTCCCTCCCTCCCTCCTGCAGCATGTGGAGCCCCTCCATTCTGAAGGGGGTCTGCAGGGCATCCCACCAGCTGAGGTGCCCTGACGGCAGTGGCTTTCGGAGGGCGCTAAGAGGGCTTGGCGCGATCAGGGAAAAACTTCTGGGTCGACATCCAAAGGGTCAGGGTTAGAGAAGTGGGGCCACCCGGGGCCAGCTTAGTTTGTGTGCTTGTGTGTGTGTGTGTGTAGAGAAAGAGAGGTGGTGCTGTCATGGCAGGAGGTCAAAGGGCCACAGGAAAGGGGGGAACACCTTCTGGACTGGACGTTGCCCAGTTATGGGGCACACTGCCTGCTCCCCCGGCCTGCCAATAAGCCAGGATCCAGGTCTTAGGCTGGAAATGGGGGCCGTAACCCCCCTTCCTCCTCCTCCTCCTCTCCTGGCAGGGAGTCCCGGCCACGTCCCGCACAAATGCAACAGCATTAAGCACCGGATCATCTCCCCGAAGGTGGAAGTCCGTCCTTGCCCCTTCCCGGCCCTGACAGAGGTGCAAAACATCTCCGGCAGCCCCGAGGCCCGAGCTGAGGCTGACCCGGCCAAGGGGCCTGTCCTGGACAGCAAGGGCACCAAGCCGGCCAAGACCACCTCCTCCACCATGGCCGACGCCGTCCCCGACTCCACGCAGCCGCCCCCTGCGCTGCCCCGGCCCGGCGGCTTCCCCAAACAGGAGCGGCCCCCTGGCACGCTGTCCGTCAGCCTGCCTGGCAGCACCATCTTCGTCATGGCTGGCCCGAGCGGGGCTGAGAAGCCGCTGGCCCTGACCCCCAGCCAGCACCTGGTCTCCGGAGAGGGGGGGGCGGCCCCCACAACGCCTCTTGGCCTGGCCGTCTTGCCCGGACTGCTCCTCTCGCAGAGCTTGGAGTCCGCCATGGAGACCAGCGAGGGGACCTCGGACGCCTTCGACCCAGACCGCTTCCTGAACAGCCCCAAGCAAGGACAGACATACGGGGGCGGCCGGGGTCTGCAAGCCAAGCCGGAGCCTCCGGAGACTGGCTCAGCTTCGGGCTACTCGCTCTACATCTCCACCAATCGCTTCTTCATCCAGGATGATGGGGCCAGGCAGGGGCCTGCGGCCCTCTCAGCCAGCCCCACGGTGGCCGCAGCGGAAGCCAAGAGCAGCCCAGAGGCACCCATGGAGACATCAGGTGAAGGGGGCAGAGCGGCCGGGGGGGGCCCGGAGATCTCCCCCAAGGAGCTGCAGGAGGAGCTCCACTCGGTCATCCAGAGAGTGGCCGCGGCGGCAGCGGGAGGCCCCTTCAGCCTGCCCTTCGACAGCCATTTCCCGGACCTCATTAGCGAGCTGATGACGGAGGGCCCGGCGGCAGACGGGGCAGGCAGCCCGAGAGGCCCCAGTCCCGGGTCGGAGAGCCCGGAGTCGGTTCTGCCGGAGCCCCCGGCCGAATCCTGCCACGTGGCGGAGGCCATCTTGGGGGGCCCTGCTCAGCCCTGGGTCTCCATCACCGACTTCTCGCCCGAGTGGTCCTACCCAGAGGTAGGTGCTCTGCTGGGAAAAGCTGGGGAGGGGCACAGCCGAAGGGGCCAGAAGGACCTCAAGGGCCCGGGGGGAGGGGCAGGGGGGCGTTTCGTGAGCAACCGCTGCCAGTGTCTCCTTTTGGCCACGGGGCCTCGGGGGGGGAGCCACTCCCTCTTTGACTCCCGCCTTTTCCTCCCGGGGGGGCAGGGGGGCGTGAAGGTGCTGATCACCGGCCCCTGGATGGACGATTCGGAGTCCTACAGCTGCCTCTTTGGCCAGATCTCGGTCCCGGCGTCGCTCATCCAGTCCGGGGTGCTCCGCTGCTACTGCCCAGGTAGGGGAGCTGAGAGTGGGGGGCGCAGGGAGAGAGGGGAGGCCTGGCTCGGCCCCTCCCGGAGCAAAGGGCCCTCTGCCCCCCCTCACAGTGCTCTCCCCTTCCCCCCGCAGCCCACGAGGCGGGGCTGGTGCCGCTGCAGGTCGCGCAGGATGCCTGCCTGGTGTCCCCGTCGGTCGTCTTTGAGTACCGGGCCCGGAGCTTCCTGACACTGCCCGGCCCCCAGCTGGACTGGCTCTCCCTGGACGGTGAGTGGGGGATGCCGCCCTCACTGCTGCGGGCGGGGGATTCCCAAGGCTTTTCCTCTTCCCGCACAGGTGGTCCTCGTCTTACACCCGTTCATTTTAGTGACCGTTCAAAGTCACAATCAGGGTGGAAAAAGCGGCCCGTCAGCCGGTCCATATTTAGGACGGTCGCGGCGTCCTCGGATTGCGTAATCTCCTTTTGCGACCGGTCAAGCAAAGTCAATGGGGGAACCCGGATTCACTTAACCAGGTTACTAACTGAACAACGGCAATGATTCCCTTAAGGACCGTGGCAAGGGAGTTTGTAAAATGGGGCAAAACTCAATTAGCAACTGACTTGCTTAGCAACGCAAATTTGGGGCTTAATTGTGGCCCTAAATTGAGGTCCTCCTGTAGGATCATAGAGTGCCAGGGCTGGAAGGGCCCCTGGAGGCCTGATCCTGGGCCCTTGGGGCCCACAGCTGCCCAGGCGGGCACAGCCCCAGGGCCGGGAGGAGGGCCGGGGCTCCTCCGGGGAGTTGTTTGTGTCGGAAAAACCAGCGCTGGGCTGGGCCCCGTCCAGGGTGTCGCCTTACAGGGATGTTCCTGGCATGTGCAACGGAAAGGCTGGGAGGGGCCAGGAGTTTCCATGACGGCCGTGCTGGGCCCTCCACTCCCCCGCCCCCTCCTCCCTCGACTCGCCCCTCACCCTGCTCGGCAGAGACCCCCCTGCACTGCTCCCCTCTCGGTGCATCAGAGTAACAAGCACCCCGCTTCAGTCCCGGGGGTGCAGCTGGACCACCCCTGACCCCCACCCGGCCACAGGCCCCTCCAGCGGCCCCTCTGCTGGCCCAACCAGGCGGGCCAGTGCGGCTGTCGTCTTGCCTGAGGGCCGCAAAGTCTCAGGGTCCGTTTGGGGTCTTCCCGATGCTGGGAGGGGGGCTGGTGGGAGGAGCTGCCCCCTCCCCTCCGTGCAAGGGGTTCAGTTGCTCAGTCTACATCCAAGGAGCAGCTCTGAGCAGGCTGGCCAGGGGCTCTTGGCCCGCCTCGCAGGGAGAGCCCCCTTCGGCCAGGCGGTGGCCTCCGTTGGCTACCTGCTGCCGACCCGAAGGCAGGGGGGGAAGCAGCCTGACCCCAGCCCACCTTGGAGAGACCTCTCACCTTGCCACTATCCGGTCAGAGCCTCTGCGGAACAGCGCCCAGGCCTGTCCTTGCCAGTCGGGCAAAGAGGCTTCGAGGGGTCCCTAAAGGGCTCCCCCTGCCCTGCCGGTGCCCGAGGGCGTCTGTCCAGGCACGCACCCCTCCCCCCGTGTGACCTGGAAAAAATCCCTTTCTGAGAACAGGCCAGTCTTTGGCGGGCATGACCTGCCCGATGGCAGAGGCCGGGCTGGGCAAGGGGCACTTGGCCCCCTCTCCCCGCACCCTCCCTGGCAGCTGGGGGAAGGGGGTGATGGGGAGCAGAGAGGGGAGCCCCTTCCCCCCAGAGTGAGCCGTGCAGAGGGGGCTTCTCTAGACTACCAGCTGGAGGCAACTGTCCGGCCAGCCTCTGTGTGTGTGTGTGTGTGTGTGCGCAAAAGATAGAGCTCATTAAAGGATTGCCGTCCACTCCCCCCCCCCCCCGCCCAGGCCAGTGGCTATTTTCGGGAGGGCCGGAGCTGGTCAGGCTGCCGTCTCTGGCTGGCGGAGAAGGGGCCGGCTCCCCTCCCACCGGCGCGTCAGGGGTGGGGGCAGCGGGCCCCCTTCGCACTGTCATTGCATACCAGGACGGCTAGCGGTGCCCTGATCTCTGCCCCCCCCCAGCTGGGGGGGCGGGCCTAACCTGGGATTTCTCTGCGGTCCCTGCCAGCTGCTTTCGAGTCCCGCCGGAGTTGAGGAGCAGAGCGCCGGGCTTGGGGGTCAGGCAAGGGGGCAGCCCCCACGTCCCCTGGCAATGCCCAGAGCAGGTACTGGCCTTGGGCAGGTGGGAGGGGGGCCGAGCCGGGAAGGAAGGGGCTTCGGTGCCTGCTGCTGCTGCTGGGGGGAAGGTCCTGGCCTGTGGGGGCTCAGGCCAGGGGTCCCCCGCAGCGCCCCCTGCCCTGGGGGGGCAATGCCTCCCCACCGTGGGCTTGCTGGGCTTTGACGTGGGCCAGGAGCAGCAGCAGCCCCCCCACCCGAGGGGCGGCAGTGGGCTCTTCTGGACGCCTCTTCCTGCTCTGGGGGCAATGAATGAGCTGGACGGGAGTTGCGTGGCCGGGGGCCGGGGGCGGATCCCACCCCCTCTCCTGCAAGCGTTTTTTTCGGTCACTTTGGGCACGCTCTTGAGATTAACCTGGGTTTCATCTGCCCCAGCTAATTGGCTATCCTGGTTTATGCCTCCAGTTGTTGCGTGTGGAAGGGGCCTGTTGACGTTGTGCTGCTTGTGGAAGGGGCCCCCCGGTTTTGCTCTGGGAACAGACGGGGGGGGGAGAGAGGTCGCCTTCGCTTTGTGGGGTTTTAATGTCCTGGACTTTGTTTTTGTGTTTGCTTGTTTATTTGAACCCCCAACGTTTCCCCATCACGGAGGAGACATCCGATGCCGTCCCCCCCCCGCCCCGGTGGGCTGTGTCTGCTCATTCCCTGGGGCCGCAGAAGGACGGGTGCTCCGGGGCCCTTCTGGATGAACCCAGTTGTCCCTTTTCCAAGACTAGCCGAACCTGCCCAGCCCCCCCTCACCCATTCTTGGGTGCTCAGTGGAGAAGCCCCCCCCCTCCGTGGGTCATCTGGGAAAATGAGGGCAGCCCGGCTTGTTAATCGCCCCAATCAGGATTAGCCTAACAGGATGCCCGGCAGCCTCTTGGCCTCCCCCCCTATTGCCCCCCCCCATTCACCTGGTCAGGGCCGGGCTGGGCCGGGCTGCCTCTCACCAGCCTCCTCTCCCCCCCCCCAGATAACCAGTTCAGGATGTCCATCCTTGATCGTCTGGAGCAGATGGAGAAGCGTGTGGCTGAGATGGCCACCTCGGCCCCCCATGGCCCGCCGGCCCAGGCCCAAGGGGAGAAGCCCCCTGGCCAGGTGAGACGTGGGGCGGGGATGGGGTGGGAGGCTGAGCTGGTGGCCACCGGAGCGTGGCATCTACTGGTGCCCAGCGGGCATTGACTTGAGGGCTTTGCCAATTGGGCGTTAAGGTGCGCGCACACACACACACACTTGGAGACATGCCAGGCTTTGTGGGGGGAGCACCCGGATCTGATTTTGGGGGTGCAGGGTCCCCTCTTGGGCAGAAGCCTCGAAATGCCTTCAGGCCGTGGGCCCCGTGCCTGCCCCCTTCCGCTGTTCTCCTGGGGTTCCCCGTGGCCCCTGCGGGTCCCCCATCTGGGGTCTCCTTTCACGAGGGTCTTCTCCAAGCAAATAGGGCCGCTCCTTCCAGTCTCCTCCTTCAAAATGCTTCTTCTCCCCCCCCCCAGGGCTGCCCCCCCAGAGGGTGTGGGGAAGGAGCTCATGGGGCCGGTTTTGCTCAGGAAAACTGGATGGAAAAGCGGCCTTGGGAGCTCTGCCGGCACCCCCCAAGTAGGGGGGGCAGACCAATGACAGGGCCCCAGGGCGTGGAAGGGGCTGGATGGGGGCCTCTCTGAGCCAGGGGGGTCCTTGGGGGGGTGGCACTGTTGCTTGTGGGGCTCCCCACTTGTGTCCTTGCTGAGCTGCAGGTGCAGAAGTGATATGAATTTTTCAACCCCCCCTCCCCTCCCCTCTGGGCTGCTCACAAAAGCAGGACGGTGTCTGGGATGGATGTTGCCCCCCCCCGGTCCCCTTTGTCCCAGCCCCACCGGCCGTGCAGCAGCAGCCGCGTGTATATTTAGTGCGTGTTCCCCCCCCCCCAGCCTGAATCTCAGGTTTCGCTGAGATTGGCACCTGTGTGGTCAGCCAGCCCGGCTATTCTGGAGCGGCCGGGTGGGAGATAAGGCCAGGCGGCCTCTGGGTGGGATTAGGGAGGAGGGAAGGCATCCGCGCCCCCCCCGGCCGCCCAATGGCCCCGAATTCTTTCCGTTGAGATCAGCAGCTTGGCCGGAGGGCAGGGGCGCCACGTGGAGCCTTCCGGGCAAGGGGCACAGCGTGCCTCAGTCCGGCACGCACACAGCACGGCCACTTCCTGCGGTCAGAGGAGGAGAGTGGGCACTACCGCTTCCATCGTCCCCAGTCGGAAGGGTCCTGGTGGAGTTGACGGGGTCTTTGAGAGGAGAGTCCTGTTCCCACAGGCCAGGCAGACGCCCGTGAGGAAGCCGAGGGAGGGGGCCAGGGGGGCACGGCCTTGGCCCGGGAGTTGAAGGACACCTCAGGGACAAGGTGGCACTGCCCAGCGAGACCACTGCAGCTTGACTGGCAGGAACTGGGAGGGACAGAGGAGGGCACCTCTGAGGAATGTGGCCCTGGGCCCTCAGCAGCCCACTCCTCACATTTCCCCCAACTGGAGGGCTTCAGCTGTCCGCAGGGAATGCCGGCCCACCGCTGGGTCCTTGGTGCCCCCTGACCATCTCATCTGCTGGGGGGGGGGCTGCTGCTACATCTGGGGCAGGAGGGCTGATGGTCTTGGGTGGGAAACAGGTCCCCGGAATCTTTGGGGAGCCCAGAAGAGGCTGCAGACGTAGCCTGTTAGCCCGAGGCTCTTCACCCCCCTCCCTCCCTCCCCCTCTGCCCCCCCCCCAAACTAGGCTGCCTCCGACTCCTTTGAGGACCGCATTGTGGCCGTCTGTGAGAAAATGATGCTGTCGCAGACGTGGCTTTGCTCGGAGACTCTGGTGCACCACGTCAGCTTCCGAGGAATGACGCTGCTGCACCTGGCAGCCGCCCAGGGCTACACCCGCCTCATTGAGACCCTGATCAAGTGGCGGTGAGTCTCCCTGGCCGGTAGGCCGAGGGCCCTTTGGCGTCTCTTGCCCGGACCCCCGTGGGGGGAAAGCTTCACCCGGTTCTGTCCAGAAGGGCACAAAGCCACCACCACCACCACCCCCGGGCCCCCCAAGTGGAGGAGTTGGGCTAGGAAGGAGGGATGTGGGGGGGGAAGAGAGGCAAATTCCTAGAGGGGCAGCAGTGCCTTTTCTCATTCTACAAATGTAGTAAATAAATTATCTGTCGCTTGTGGATCCATGCAGGGACTCCTTGGCTTACGGCCATTTGCTCAGGGACTATTCCTGGTCTTCCACCCAGCGGGGCTGATCCGAGCCTTTCCCCACGGGACGAGATCCTTGCTTGGATAAACTCTGCCACTTGCCCGAGTCCAGCCTGCCAGATTTTGCCCCTCTGAAATTGGGGGTGGGGTGGGGTGTGCGAAGACCGAAGGGCCCCCGTTGCGGAGGCGTGATGGCGGCCCTTGGTTCCCCCCAGGAATCTCAACGCCCAGAATCTGGACTTGGAGCAAGAGGTGGACCCCCTCAATGTGGATCACTTTTCCTGCACCCCCTTGGTGAGTGCCTCTCGGAAGGGGAGGGGGGAGAAGGGGGGCTGACCCTGTCTGGTCCTTCCGGCGAGAGAGATCCGCTCGGGGCCGCTCCTGCTGCTTTGCCTCTGTCAGGGGTCTCATTCCTCACCTCCCCCCATCCGCAGATGTGGGCCTGTGCGCTTGGTCACTTGGAGGCCGCCCAGCTGCTCTACCTGTGGAACAGCCAAGCCCTGGCCATCCCCGACTCCTTGGGCCGCCTGCCGCTCACCGTGGCTCGTTCGCGGGGCCACGTCAAGCTGGCCACGTGCCTGGAAGAACTGCAGCGCCAGGAAGAGGCCCTCCCCGAACCTCTGGAGCCCTCGGCTGATGCACCTGGGTCGGCCGGCAAGGCCTGTGTCGTCGGTCTTCAGCACCCCACGGAGGGGCTGCACGTCCCCTCCCCCGTCTCGGCCAGCCCAGACACAGGTAGGGGGCTTCCTTCCCACAGGGGGGCGGCCTGCAGCAAGGCTCAGACTGAGCCCCAACCAAACCCAGCTCCCTCTCTCCCCAGGGCTCAGCACCGCCAGCGGGGTCTCCTCCCCCTCGGAGCGCTCGGAAGGCTCCCTCTCCATCACCTCCGCCTATTCCAGCGGGTCAGCCCTGCGGGAGTCGCCCGCCTACAGCCCCGAGGCCGAGGGGGCCATGGATGTCTGCCAGGGCCTGCCAGCCGGCAGCCTGGAGGGCTGGTACTTGCAGGAGGCCCCCAGCCCACCCCGCCTCCCGCCCGCCTCCTTCTTCCTGAGCTATGGCGAGGGGGGCCCCATGGGACCCCCGGGAGGCCCTGAAGCTGAGCTGGAGCCGGAGTTGCTGGCCTACGGGGAAAACGCCGAGAACGAGGAGCAGCTGCCGGAGACAGACGTCCTGCAGGTCCGGCGTCTGGGAGGGGGGGCAGCGGTTTGAGCATCCATTCCCCGGCCGATCTGTTGGCAACTCCTCTGCCTGCACCCAGACGCCCCCCTGCCTCTGGCAGTAACCATGTGGGAAAAGCCAGGCAGAGCCCCCATGGGTGGGGGGCTGGCTCTGGTTGAGCCCCCGCAGTGCAGAGAAGGGTCCCTGGTTCTCCTCCTCCTCCTCCTTCCGGTTTCTGGCTGAAAGGCTGGGATGCCAGGGAGAAGGGCCCGGGGTTGGGCCTCTCCCTCTCTGCAGCGGCCCTGCCACGCGGGAGCCCCTATTCCCTGCAGTCCAGCAGCGCCCCACCCCAGAGGGCTGGGCTCCTCTATGTGAGTAGCTGTGCCGGTCTTCGTCCCCTGTTGAGGACGAAGACACGGAGCGCCCCGGCACTCATCTCCTGTCTCCCCTGTTGCCCTGCAGGTGGATGTGATCACCCTGGCCAGGCAGATCATCGAGGCCACGCCGGAGCGCATCAAGCAGGAGGACTTTGGCTGCCCCGAGGCTCCTCTCCGCGAGCGGTCCAGCAACGTGGGCCTGAGCGAGACCATGTCCTGGCTGGCCAGTTACCTGGAGAACGTGGACCAGCTGCCCAGCCTCCCCCAACGACGGTAGCTCTTCCGGACGCTGGAGGGGGGAGTGGCCGGTGAGCTTTGGGGACGAGGGGCTCACGTCCTTCCTTCTGCCTTCCAGAGGCTTGGCCCCCTCGCCCCCCGGGCGCTCCTGCCTCAGCCCCCTGCAGTCCCCCCTGGCGGACCTGTCCTTCGAGCGCCTCCCTCCGCCCCCCACCGCCGCCAGCTGGGCCGAGTTCCTCAACGCCTCGGGGAACGGAAAGATGGAGAGCGACTTCGCCCTGCTGACCCTCTCGGACCACGAGCAGCGGGAGCTGTACGAAGCCGCCCGGATCATCCAGACGGCCTTTCGCAAGTACAAGGTGCGTCTCCCGACCGAGCCACGGCAGGGCAGGGCAGGGCGCAGCCCTTTTGGGGGGACGTCGGCGGCTCTTCTCAGCCTCCTTGTCCCTCTTCTTTCTTGTTCAACGGACACACACACATACGCGCACACACTCTGCTGATGCTGCACAGCCACTCCTCAGAACCATTAATTTAGTGATCATTTGTTCATAATACGGGGCAAAACTCACATAAACTACCTCACAACAGAAATGTTGGGCTCCGTTTCGGTTGCAAATCAAGAACTACCTATATTTGGGGGGGTGGGGAGGATGAGGGCTGACCCCCCCTCTCTTGTGCTGCTCCCCCCCTCCAGGGCCGTCGGCTGAAGGAGCAGCAGGAGCTGGCGGCGGCTGTCATCCAGCGGTGCTACCGGAAGTACAAGCAGGTAGGGCTCCTTCGGGGGGGGGGAAGGCCCGTCCGTCTCTGGCCCCTGCAAGCCTCCTGGGAGGCCCCCTCCCCCACACTCGCAAGCACACCCCCCAACTAACCTGCTCTCTCTCTCTGTCTTGCAAGCTCACCTGGATTGCCCTGAAGGTAACGCAGGGAAGTGGGGTCCCAAGGCCACTCCTGGCAAGGGGAGGGGGAGGCGTGTGGGGCTGGAGGAGCTTCTGTAAGAGTTAGGCAGCCGTGTGGGGGGAGAGGAGAGGGGGTTCTCTTCTCACCCTCCTGAGAAAGGGCAGGCTGTGATCGGCTCCGGGGAGGCCGTCTTTGCTGCGGGCGGCTCTAGTGAGCCCTGGAAGGGACATCCCGGCTGCAGCTGAAAGAGGGGGACAGCCGGAGAAGTACAGGGGCCCCACTGGGGACCTAAGTGGAAGGAGTTTGATATTTTGGCTTCCGGATGCTTTCCTTGAAAGTGGGGGATCCTTTCCCTGTCCTCCCTTACCCCCTCCCTCCCTCCCTCGGAAAAAGCCCCAGGGCTCCGAAATCGGGACGCTTCCCACCAGGAAATCAAGGCATTTCAGTCGGGTGGCTCTGGGGAGCCCAAATCTCCCTCAGGGGCAATGGGGTGTCCCCCCCCTCCAACTTAATGGACGTGCCTTTGATGGGAAGGCGGTGGGCACTCCGGGATGGGCAGGTGGGCAGTAGCCCCCGCACCCACCGCGCCCTTCCCAGCCCCTCCTCTCCTCCTCCTCCTCCCTGGCACAGTACGCGCTCTACAAGAAGATGACGCAGGCGGCCATCTTGATCCAGAGCAAGTTCCGCAGCTACTACGAGCAGAAGAAGTTCCGGCAGAGCCGACGGGCCGCCGTGCTGATCCAGCAATACTATCGCAGCTACAAGGAGTACGAGAGGCTGAAGCAGGGGCACCGGGCCTCGGCCGCCATGCAGCAGAAGATCAAGTGGGTGCTGGGATGGAGTCGAGGGGGGGGGGGATCTGGTTGCAAGGGGAGGGGGGGAGTCAGGAGCAGGCACTGGCCTCGAGACCCTCCCTCTTCCCCTGAAGCCCAAGACCCCCTCCTGGCAGAGTCCACACAGCCGTGGCGTGGCACAGTCCCTTTCTCTGGCTCCCCGCCAGGACGGGCCAAAATCCCCCCGAGGCTGAGCAAGACAGTCCCAGTCCTGTCAGGTGACCCCTGCCCCCCAAGGACTGCCGGTCCTGCCTGCAGCTGCCTCTGATGCTGTCCTTCAGCCGCAGCCCCGGAGCAGGGAGCCCATGTGGGGCAGCTCCTGCCAGCCTGCCCGGTGCCCTCGAACCACCGTGCATGCGGTATCTGGGTATTGGCAGCCCTCTGCAAAGCCAGCCCCCCTCCCCACCCCCCACCCCTTCATTTCAAGCTTGGATCCGCTCCTCCGCCCTGATGCCCCACGTGCCTGGGGGGGGACCTTAGGGAGGGAAGGGGCGTCCCTCTCTCTCTCTCTGTCGAGGGAAGGGCCAGCAGCCCCACCAGGACTGGGATCCCATCAAGCTGCTTCGTAACCAGTTTGGGAGAATTGGCTACAGGTATTTAAAAATAATAATGTTGGAAGGGACCTTGGAGGTCATCTAGTCCAAACCCCTGCTTAGGCAGGAAAACCTATGCCATTTCAGACAAATGGTTGCCCAATTGCTTCTTAAAAACTTCCAGTGTTGGAGCATTCACCGCTTCTGGAGGCAGGTAGTTCCACTGGTTGATTGTCTTCACTGTCAGGAAGTTTCTCCTTAGTTCCAGGTTGCTTCTCTCCTTGATTCATTTCCATCCGTTGCTTCTTGTCCTGCCTTGACCTATAGTCAAAAGTGAGCCCAGATTTTTTTTGTTGCTAAGCGAGACGGTTAAGGGAGTTTTGCTCCACTTTATGACCTTTCTTGCTATAGTTGTTAAGTGAATCATTGCAATTAGTCCCGCGGTTGTCAAGCGGTTCTGGCCTCCGCTCTGACTTTGCTTGTCAGAAAGGTCGCGAAAGGGGATCGCGTGACTCCCCGGGACGCTGCGGCCGTCGTAAGTATGAGTCTGCCAAGCGTCTGAATTTTGATCATGCGGACACAGGGATGCTGAACTGGCCGCAAGTGTGAAAAACAGCCGTAAGTCGCTTTTTTCAGGGGTGTCGTAAATTTGAACGGTCACTAAATGAACTGTTCTTGAGGACTAGCTGCATGTTTTTCTCATTCAGGGAGACAAAATAGTGCTTTGGAGCGGATGATGTTCCAGTCGCTTCTCTTATCGCTCTATTCCACATTTATATATTCATTTCATTCCTCTTAACCGCCCATTTTCCCCTGAGGGGGGCTCTGGGCGGTGACCCGTGCGTGGGGGGGTCCTGAGAAGCAGGTGAGGAGCAAGGGGGCTTCAACTCCAGCACTTCCCACATACTGGCACCCCTTGGTAGATCCGGACTGCGCATTCCCAGGACTCTTTTGGACATCTGGCGAAGTGGCCCTGTTTTGGGGGGGGGTTTTGCCCACTGGACGCTACGGAGGGCAGTGGGGGGGGGAGCTGCTCCTTCCATTCTCTGCCCTGAGAGGCCGGGTCCACTCCTGCCACTTGACCCTCCCCTCCTCCTTTCCCCGACAGGGGGACCTTCCTGACCAAGAAGCAGGATCAGGCCGCCCGGAAGATTATGCGGTTCTTGCGACGTTGTCGGCACAGGTACAGCAGGAAGGGGGGGGGAGACTGGGGGAGGCAGTTTGAGAACAGAGTTCATCGACATTAAGAAACCACAAGATGAGTTTGGGGGGGGTTAGAAAATCCAGAGGAGACCCCCACGAGAAGCCCAGCATTGCCCTGGGGAGGGGGGCTCTCCTCGGCCTCTTTCACCCTCCCCGTATCTGCAGACCCCCACGGAGCGTGCGATAGCTCTGCCACGGAGGAGGCCAGCCAGCTGCAGGTGGGGTGGGGGCTTTGCTCTGCTAGAGGAACGGCGGGGTGTCCCCCTCCCTTCGGAGGTCACCTTCTCTCCTCCCCCCCCGAAACAGGATGAAGGAACTGAAGCAAAGGCAGGAGATGGAGGCGCCCCCACAGAAGCGCGGTGTGGCCACTTAGCCTGAAGCGGACGCCCGCAGGAAGAGGCGGAGGAGGGTCCTGACCCCAGCCAAGCCCCTGAAAGGCTGGGGGGATGGCCCCGGGTCTCCCCACAGGAGGGAAGGACTGCAATAGGGCCACCCGGCCCACAGCTTGGCCCCTTCTAGTCTGGGGTGGGTGCGAAAGCTCTCCTGGCCGGGCCCCAGACCCGTGGCCCTCGGCCCCATCACTGGAGCCCCTGTCAAGTTTGCCTTCCCTGTGCCAAGGCTTCTCTGCCACGCATGGGCCTTTCCGGGGGCCGGAGGGGGACGCCACACTCCAGGCTCTCTGAGGAGGGAGGGGGGGAGGGATTCTCGGGGCCCCCACTGCCTTCACGCCAGCTTTCTGGAGGACCTGCAGCAGCCCCCCCCCCTCGCAAGGGGTCGGGTGGAAGACAGCCTCCTGCCATGCACTTTTCAGTCCCCGTCCCCCATCTGTTTCCTTCTGCCCCACTCCTCCCCATAAGCTGGGCAGGCTGCCAGGCTGGGATTTGACGAGGGTCCTTCCCTCCCCAGCAGCCCCCCTGCCCCCTCCCCTGTGCCACTGTACATACTTGTATGATATGGGCAAAAGAAGGCCAGGCTGGCATTTATTTAACCCAAAGGCGTCTCACCCCACGGGGTGGCGGCAGGGGGCTGGGGAGAAAGACCGCCTGGGTTGTAACTCTGGAGCTCCCCCCTCCCCTGGAACCTCCTCCCGTATTTCAGCCCAGCCTCTGGATGTCGCTCCCCCCCCAATCTGTCACACAGCTACCGTTTTTGCATGACTTTGGTTGGTTTGTACAAATTTACATTAAACCGCAAGAAAATCACCAGTGTAAACTCCTCGCAAGAGTATTGAGTGGGCGTCAGCCTGGCAGGAGGGTGCTTTGGGCTGGGGGAGCAGGCTGCAGACCCCCCCCGCCATGTCCTGGGGGTGGGAAGGGTCTCCACAGGGGCAAGGCGGACTTGGTCCACTCCGTGCCCTGCATCAGTGGGAGGGAGGGAGGCTCTGGGGAAGTGGGGGGGCAGAAACTGACAAGGGGGAACTCTTGCCTCCATTCTGCCCCACCTTCCTTGACCAGCAAGGCGCCTCCCGATGGGTCCACTGTGCCCTTTGCACATCAGGGGCCCAAGGCTGAGGAAGGGCCCTCTGGGGTCCCCCTGAGCTTCCTGGTGCCCTGTGTAGTGGGGGGGGGGTGGTCCTGCTAAGTGGGGTGGCTCCCCTTCTGTTCTCAGCAGGCCTGCTCTGTTTTTTGGCTCTGGCCACTGCCCAAAGTCCGGGCAAGGAGGCTTCTGTCTCCCCTCGCTCCTTTTTCAGTGGGGCACGTGGCTGGACAGAACTCTTGGGACCCCGAAGGCACGCGGACTCTGCCCCAAGGACCAGCTCAAGCTGTACCAGGAACCCCCACCCCAGGCAGAAGGCAGGAGGGAGGGGCCTTCAGCTGCTGCCTGTGGGGTGGGGGAGCGCTGTGGGGCAAGGGGGAAGTTTGGGGGCAGGGGCCCTAATGGAGGGGCCTGGGGAGGTGTGTCCTGCCTGGCTCAATTTACCTGCTGCCCAGCCACTGGGAGGGGGCTCGGGGGTGGGTGGGATTGGAAGTGCCCCCGAGGGGGCGTTTGGGCGTCCCAGGCTGGGCACCGTGCCCACCTGGCCCCCGGGGCGTCGTGCCAGCCTTCCCTGGGGGGGGCAGATCAGACCCCCCCCAGGAATGCCCCCCACCAGCCCTGGGCGAAGGAGGGCTAACGGGGTTGTGTGAATGCACGCAGCTGGCCAGCTCCAAGGGGCTGCACGCAGAGCGAGCAGCTTGCACGGGTTTAAATTTAAATTGGCAAAAAACAACACGGAACGGTCGGGCTTGCATAAGAGTCCTCCGGGGGAAAAGCTGGAGTAAAAGAGTGGCTGGAAAAGAAAGCCTCTCTCGCCTCCGACTCGCTGGCCGGTGACGTCATGACGCCGTGCCAGAACCCTCCCGAGACAAGGGCCGACGGGATACCAGGCTCCTCCTGGGGGGGGGAAAGGGCGGAGCCTGTCGGGGAAGCCTGGAGAGGGCGTGTCTGGTTGCTGCGTTGCAATGGGTTTAGGGGCGTGGCCGCGGAGGGGACCCGCCCACGATTAACGGAGCACGTTTCTCCCCCCCCCCCAAGTCCCGCTGCCCGTCGAATCAGCCGGAGACGCGCGGCTGAGATCGAATACGGAGCCGGGGCGCTGGGAGGGACCTTAGAGGTCCTCCAGTCCACCCCTGGGGCTTCTGCAGCCTCGGCGGCCTTCGTGGGAAGCCTCGGGGGCTGCTTTCTGGACGGCGGCTGCCCGAGGGGGCGCGCCGGGCTGCTTCCCCCCAGCCCCGCCGGACGAGAGTCCCCTTCGGGCTGCCTTCGCGGTTCAGCCGGGCCCGGAGCCCGGAGGAATACATGAATCGAGGCAGCGCCGCAGCCCAGGGAAGCCGGCTGGAGGGGGCGCCCGCTGCGCGCGACGGGAGCGCGAAACTCCCCGAAGGCGCCGAGTCGCGCGCCCCGGGCACGTCGCGGGGACGGGGCCGAGCAGAGGGAGGGAGGCGCGGGGGGAGGGCGCAAAAGGAGGGGCAGCCAAGGGGGGCAATCTGCGGGGAGGGCTGGGGCGCGCCGGGCCTTTCCGAGGCTGCGAGGGGCCCCGCCGGTCCCAGCCCGCCGCCGTCGGACGGAGTCGAAGCCCCTCGGGCTCTCTGGCGCCCGGGCGACCCCCGTCGGACTTCGCGGGACGGCCAGGAGCAGCGGGACCGAGTTCGTCTCCCCTTCAGGCCGCCTCTGGAAGCGGCGCGGATCCCGACCGGCTGGGTGTCCTGGGCGAGGGGTGCGCCCGACGTGAGGCTTCCGCGGGCTTGGATGTGCCTGCGCGGGGGCCGCAGCGGCGAACTTCCGGGGTTCCGCTCCGACTCTCGCGACGGCGGGGCGCTCTTGCTCCGTCCTGCGCGGAGCGCGCAAGAGAAAGCAGGCGGGCGTGAGTTTGCTCCGCGCCCCTAGACGGAGGAGGACCCCCGCCCGCAGGGACGCTCCGGCGTTTTGGGAGGCGGGGGTGGGGTGGGGTCCAGAGTGTAAGCGTTGTCGAGGATATTGGACGGGGCCCGTGGAACTCCCTGCCACGAGGCTGCAGCCTCCAAGAGGCACTGTCCCCTTTCACGGATGCTCCCCTCCCGTCATGCCCTCTGGGCGTGCTTCTGGGGGAGACATGAAAAGGGGGGGCTACCCTTGGGCTCTGCTGCTGGGGGGGGGGAGAACCAACCTATTAGTGTTCTTTCTGTTCATGTTCATTCTGGAGGGTTCGCCTTCCTAGACGGCGCGGGGGGGGGGTGATCCCTAAAGAGATGGGGGTGGGGAGGGCGCTTCGGAGGCCTGCCAGGTACCCGCGGGGCTCAAGGGGAGCTTCTGCCCATGAAAAGGTGGGCTAAGTTAAAGGACGGGGGGGGGGGGCGTCGATTTTCCTGCTGGTATTCTAAAGGAGCCCTGGATGGGGGGGGTGTCCAACCTTGGCCCCGTTAAGCCTCGTGGACTTCCACTCTGGCCGGGGAATTCTGGGAGTTGAAGTCCACAAGTCTTAACGGGGTCACGGTTGGACACTCCTGGTCCAAAAGAAGGAAAATTAAAAAGAATTAGATTTTTTAAAAAAACATCCATAAAGCCACCTCTTCTAGAGTTCATGAGGAAATGTACTTGTCAACTAGTGTTTCTCCTTTGACCAGAGAGAAATGAGATTTTGCTTTTTTGGGGGGGGGGGCGCAGCTGGCGTGTGTGTCTGTGTGTGTGTGTCTGTGTGTGTGTGTGTGAGAGAGAGAGAGAGAGAGAGAGAGGGGTGGGGGTGGCCCCCCCAGAAATCTCTTTGCAGGAAACTGTGTGAATCCATGCTGCTTTTCTGCAGGCTTGCAAAAATGTTTGAGGAATTTGGGGGCTTACTAGAGGAGGAGGAGGAGGAGGAGGAGGAGGAGGAGGAGGAGGAGGAGGAGGAGACAGGAGCTCCCTCAACCCAGACGGAGGGCCCACACCTGGCAGGAAGGGATCCGGAGTAGCAGAGTCTGGGAGCCGGTGAGTGGGGCTGGGGGCGAAATGGGGTTTGTGGCCTGGGAGCCCTGTGGGGTGTGGATGCTCCTGGGTTCTTGGTCAGGGTGGGGCTCATATGGGCACCGATCAAGGGGAGGATAATTGGGGGGGGGATGTGTGCCCCTCGTAGCCGGAGAGAGGGTCCTGCCCGCATGGAGTGCCAGGGCCCAGGAGCTGCCTTCCTCTGCCAGCCCCCCCCCCCGAAGGCCTGATGCTCTGCTGGTCCTGCCTTCCGCATGGGCCAGCTTCCTCTCCTCTCGCCCCACCCCAGGGAAGGGCTGGGTAGCCCCAGCCGGGGAGGGTGGCAGGAGGGGACGCCCAGCCTGCCTTCTCCCCATAAGTGCCAGGATCCAGCCCTGCTGCGGTGGGCAGCCTCCTGCCCGTGGTCCTTTGCAGGATTCGGGCTGAGCAGGCGGGCTGGAGGGGCCAGTGGGGCGGGGGCGGATCCAAGAGACCAGGTTTGGGGGCCCAGCATGTGGGTCCCCCATGGGCCCCTCACAAAGGGCCTCTTCAGCTTCACTCTTGCCCCCAGCAGAGCTTTCACCACGTAGAAAACTGCCTCCCAGCTTGGTCCACATAACAGGGTTGTTGTTTCAGGATGGCAGCTGGGCTGGGAGGGACCGAGCGCAGGGGGGGGCTGCACCGTTTTATAAGTGGGGAGGCCTGGGGGGGTCAGACCCTCTGTTCCACCCGTGTGCCCACCTTCATCGGGGAGAGAGAGAGCCAGTGTGCCAACTGGACCTGCCCTGTGGTGCTGCTTCCTTTGAAGGGCGGTGGGGCTGACCACCAGGCCCGGCCCCTCCAGGCCAGCCTCTCACTGCAGTCCCAGACACCGGGGGGGGGGGGCAGCCAGCATCTTCCCCCCCCCCACAAGCCTGACCTGGGTCTGGTTGGTGCTTCAGGCTGCCTGGGCTCCTGCCGGACCCTCTGCCACCC